GCATAGATTAGACAGTAGAATCTACTAAAGAGACAACCATAGAATCGTCTATAGATTCGACTATAGAAATTGACTATAAAATATACGATATATACTCTACAGTAAACTACAAAATTGTTAACAGTCGTCTACAGAGTTGACAATTACGTTGACTATAAAGACGAATATGGATTAAGTTAACTGTACAGTAAACTATAAAATCGGGTATAGTTTTAACTGTAGTGTCAACCATAAAATCGAATATGGATTCAGTTAACTGTACATTAAACTAATCGACTATAGAGTTAAATGTAGCGTCGACTATAATGTCTACTATAGAGAGGGCCATGGTGTCTTTTACATTGTCTTCTGTTCTTTTAGACAGTCTATTTTAGAGTCTATTAATTTTTATTTCATTTCTTTTAAAGAAAAATTTTGTGAAAAAACTTAAAATTTTAAATAAAAATACAAAACTTAATTTCCGTTTCCCATTGTAAGGATTCTCGTTTTTCTCTATTACATTTTGAACACACATCATGTTAATAATATTTAACAGTTTAAGTGGAAAAAATAAAACTTTACAACCTTCACGATTTAGATAACATTTGTTAAGTTGATTTCTTCGTTTGTGTTTTATTTTTTTTTTTGCTCTTCTCTATAACATCTGAAAATAGTAAATTTAATTTAGCGTTTATTTTGTACTCGTCCCCCCTTACACATTACACATCGAGAACAGAAAACACTCTTGGTTAAAAATCGTTTATCATATTTTGATGAACAATCTTGAAAAACTCATGGATTATAGGAATATTACATGAAATTTATAATGTAATATATATGTATGTATTTATTTTTTGTACATATGTATACAAATGTGTGAATATATAAAAAAATATTAGTAGGATTGCTTTTGGAAGAGAAAAAATGTTCCAGGTTTTCAAAAATACCATCGTATAACTAAATCTCCCCGCATATTCTTTTTACTTTCAACCAAATATTTATAGACCGAACTTATGTTCCCTCCTAATATATTTAATATGTTTATAAGTTTATACTTACACATAAGGTCCTGAGGTTTTTCCAGACATTCATCTTTACAGCTGGCAAAAGGAAAAAAGTCATTAACACAATTTTCGCTGTAAAGCAAAAAACATAAAACCAAATGAAAATATAAGAAAAATAGTATTTTATCGTATTAAATGTTACTAAATTTTTTGCTGCTTGTGTGCTGTGGTGTTTGGTTTATTTCTTTGTTAGATTTAACCGAAATAGAGTGACCAGTTTTATGCAAAATTAAATTACTACAAAATACTTCTTTAAGGTTTCATTATCTAAAAATCAATAATTTTTATGTATATTTTTAATAATTAATTTTGTCCCACTGTGGTTGACTCTGTGCTAATATTTTTTATAATTTCTAAAAGCCTAATATATTTGCTAGTAATACTCCGATTTTTGTTTAGATTACACCAATGCTTTAAAAGTTTTATATATATTTCCTTTTTTCTTACTTTAAAAACCACAGTACGTATGATTAATGTTAATTCAAGGCTAATTTTTCTAAAACTAATATATTTAAGAAACTATATTAGTAAACTAGAAAAATCCTACAGTTTTGAAAAGCCTGCAAATTATTTTGTAATATTCATTACAGAAACTTTATTTTAAATATACAAAAACAATAATATTTTTTAGAAAAATACAAAATTGTATTTTAAAAATTTAAGAATAATGACGAAAAATATAAGTTTATTCTGACAAGTTGGTCGCCTAGTTTTCTATAAATTTATGTATGCTTATGTGTGAGTGTTGCAAATAGCTCTTTGGGGAAATGTGGTTGAACTCCTTGAAGTTTTTTTTTCCTATACATATTTCTACATAAGGATATATATTTTTTTTTTGCTTCATCTTCATTTCATGCATACCAACACGCACGATTTAAATGTGCGAAAAAAGCGATTTATCATTTACACAATTACGCATTCTGTTAGTAACGTTGTTAACACTCGCACTCATACACACACACAAACACATTTCAAAGACTACAGATTAACACTGCTCTATACCAACACACATTATAATAGAGATGACGATAACTAAGAACGATAATGTTGTAGAAGTGTAACTAGTGTAAGAGATTGTGTAACATTGTATCAAATTCACACACACACCCACACACAAACACCACTTCAAGAGATCCTGCTCGATGGTAATAAAAATGTAAAAAAAAAGAAATAATCGCTCATACTTACGTATGAGTGAGTACCTTTAAAATATTATAATTTCACCCAAAAGATTATCCCAAAAACATTCACTCACTTATACACTTTCTACGTCATCTCATTAGACTTGTAAAAAGGATTCATTTTCTAGCTTTGTAAAAACAAAAATTATCCTTTTTTTCCTCGTAAGCCTGCTGCTGATGTTGCCGTTAATATCTAATTTATATGCATTTAAAGTATTATATTGTAACGTATTGTACAAGTATGTTAATAATAATTCTATAAATCTTAAGTTTTTAATGTTTTTTATAGTCATGATAAACAATCTGTTTCACATTTTTTCCCCATTTTAACGTCTGAATTCTGTTTTCGATCTTTGTGTGTGTGTGTGTTTTTTTTATATGGTAATTTTAAAGCAATTTACAAAAGAATTTATTGATGCTGAAAATATGTTGTAAATAAAAGTAGAACTCATAAATATTATTAAAAAGCAAAAGAAAAAAAATTGGGTAAAATTAATGCATGAGATTAAAAATGTTTTAATATTGAGATTTTTCTCTTGTAAGGTCAAGTATTCAATTATAAATCTTACAGCAAGGGATTTTATAGTTTAGTAGTTGCGATAAAAAATTTCATTGGTAAAGTAGAAAGGCAAAGGTTAGATATTCCTTGTAGATATTCGCTTATATTATAGTAAACTTTATATCGCAAACCATCGGCTCTATATTAGAGGACTACAGCTTCGAATATAGAGCCGTCTATAGAATCGAGAAGACTGTAATCGATTATAGAGTTGCCTATAGCCTCTACTATGGAGTCGACTATTGTGTAGACTTTATAGTAAACTACTTTCTAGACATATGTTTTATAGTCGAAAATATAGTTGTAGTCTTCTTTCGACTCTAGTCTCTCTAGAAGTGCCAACACTAGTCTTGACGATAGACTGTAGTCTCGACCATAAAGGCGACTGTAGTATCGACTATAGAGTCTATAGAGTTTCGAGTATAGAGTCGATTATAGTTTAGATTATAGATTCGACTATAGTCTCGAGTATAGAGTCGATTATAGTTTAGACTATAGAGACGACTATAGTCTCGACTGTAGAATTGACTATAGACTATAGAGTCGCCTATAGCCTATGTAGTCGACTATTGTGTCGACTTTATAGTTAACTACTTTCTCGACTATAAAACATAGTATTGTTTCGACTACAATATAGGCTCGATTATGGAATAGACTATAAAGTGTACTATATTCTCGACTACAGAATAGACTATGCAGCGACTATAGGGTCTATTTTAGTGTAGACTGTGGCGTAGACTATAGTGCCTCTAGTATAACCGACAGTAGTCTTGACGATAGACTAAAGTTTCGACCATAGAGTCGGCTATAGTCTCAATTACAGGGGCGATTATATTATCGTTCATAAAGGCGACTATAGTATCGACTATAGAGTTTCGAGTATAGAGTCGGCTATAGTTGAGACTATAAAGTCGACTATAGTCTCGTGTATAGTGTCGATTATACTCACGACTGTGGAATTAACTGTAGACTACGGAATAGACTATAAAGCCTACTATAGTCTCGACTATAGAGTAGATTTTGCTTAGGCTATAGGGTTTACTTTAGTAAACATTAGAGTAGACTATAGTCTCTCTAGATAGCAGACAATAGTCTTGACGATCGACTATAGTTTTGAGCATAGAGTCGGCTATAGTCTCACCTACAGAGGCGATTATATAATCGTCCATAAAGGTGACTATAGTATCGACTATACAGTCTTTAAAGCCAAGTATAGAGTCCATTATAGTTTAGACTATTAAGGCGACTATATTCTCGTATATAGAGTCGATTATACTCACGACTGTGAAATTGACTATAGACTAAAGAGTAGCCTATAGTCTCTACTATAGAGTCGACCTTTGTAACGACTATAGAACCTACAAATACGTCGATTATAGAATAGACTACAATATACTATTGTCTCGGTTATAGAGATTACTTTAGTCTCGACATTAGAGTCGACTATATTCTATCTAGTAAAGCCAACAATATTTTTGACTGTACTCTATTGTCTCAAACATAGTGTCGACTATGGTCTTAATTATAGAGGTAACTTGAGACTCTTCGATAGAGCCAGCTATAGTCTCTACTAGGGAATCGACTTTAGTCTCGACTATGGTCTACAGTCTAGACAATATATTCAACTATAATCTCCACTATAGAGTCGACTATTTTCTCTACTTTGAAGTTGTCTATAGAGTCGACTACGATCTCAACTACAGAGTCTATTGAATTGTTAACTTTAGTTTTGAGAGTAGAGTTTACTATAATCTCAATTATAGAGTTGAATACAGTGTCAGGTATAGATTCTATTTAATAGTCGACTAAGTTGATTATAATGTCGACCATACATGTTTCGACTTAAACCTGACTTTAGAGGCAACGATAGTCTTGACTATAGAGTCCAATTACAAAATCATTTGTAGTATCGATTAAAAAGCATAGTTTCTACAATAGAATCGACTTAAGCTCGAGAATTTCCTTAAGTTAATAAATGTACTTTGAATCAATGTTCCTACTTTAAACTATACAAATTCTAAAGGATATTAAATAAAATATTTTATATAGTTATATTTATTTCTGTGAAATAAACAACAACAAAAAAGTAAACTACTTCCTTCTTTTCTCATGTACATATAAACCCACAACCTATATTGGCAGGATCACTATAAATATTTTAACAATTTCCCCTGTTTTTTTTTTTATTAATCTTTGAATTTCTCTTTTATTTTACAGCTTGGAACATTGGTACCAATTGCCACACCCGCCCCACCGACAACAATTGCACCACCAGTACGTGTTGATATACAATCATCGAATTTATTAAATAATTTACCACCATTACTCAATACACCTACGGTAAGTGTGTACTGTGTGCCAAATAAATCTATATTTTATTTTACGTGATATACTTTTTTTATTACCAATATCTTTTTTTTTGTTTATTTTTTAATAAACGAATGTTTATTTTATGTTACCCGGGAAAAACTAGAGAATGCAATGAGAAAAATGTGTAAATTTAACAAGAAAAAAAAATATATTAAATAAATTTAATTAAATTTTATTAGTTTTATTTTTTTTATATATAAAACCTTTAACCAATTTTTCTCAGTGTATTTTGTGTGTAACATATGCAAGTAAATAGTGTGTTATTTTATTGTTTTTTATTTATATTTTTCTTTAATTTTATTTTAATTTTCTTTTTTTATTTGTATGTATTTAATTTGATTTATGTTTATTAAAATATAATCTATATTTTGTATACAAACTAAATTATTAAAGATCAACATACAGACACTTAATCAATAGATACTCATACAGACATGCATACATTAATATATACTTTCACACGAGCTATATTTTTCTTATTTATACATATTACGAAAATGTGTACAGTTAAGGGCATAAAAATGGCATTCAAAACACTAAATAATTAAAAGCTAGTGTAACTATTTGGTACAATCTTTATTTTAGTGACTTTTGTATTTTTTTCACTGGCCAACTGTGCGTATGATTAATATGTAATTACTACATCAATTGTAAATTAAGTATACTCTTTTAACATAGAAAAGACGTTAGTGTTAGTAGGTGTTGAGTTACAGTTTCTCGCCTATAGTATTGATTATAGAGTCGCCTAGAGTCTCGAACATAGAGTCGTATATAGCTTTGATATCGACTGAAAATACCTCTACATTATCGAATATAGAGACGGCTGTAGTATTTTAATGACTTTTGTATATTTTTCACTGGCCAACTGTGCGTATGATTAATATATAATTACTACATCAATTGTTAATTAAGTATACTCTTTTAACATAGAAAAGTCGTTAGATAGTATTAGTAGGTGTTGAGTTACAGTTTCTCGCCTATAGTCTTGATTATAGAGTCGCCTAGAGTCTCGAACATAGAGTCGTATATAGCTTCAACTATAAAATCTTCTATAGGCTCGACTATAATGTCATCTTCAGTTTAAACTATATCGTTTATAGTATTAACTTCTATGTAGTTAATATTCTTCTTAATAGTGACGTCTACGATATCGACTAAAAATACATTATCTACATTATCGACTATAGAGACGGCTGTAATATCGACTACTGAGGCGATTTTCGACTATCTCTTTTATCTCAAGACTTCGTTTATGTATAAGGTATCTTCTATAATTTCGACGGTAGAGTTTTCTATAATCTCTACACTAGAAGTTTCTATAGTCTGGACTATAGAATCATATATATAGATCTGACTGTAGAGTCGTCTATAGTCTAGACTATAAAGTTTTGATTATAGCGTCGACTACAATTTTGACCATAATATCGTCTTAGTTTCGATTAAGTATAAAAAAGTTTAGAGTATCGACTAGGGACACTTAGTAGTTCAGAATGTAGTTTAGTCTATAGACTTGACTATAGGGTCGTCGATTTAATCATATATTAAATCGTAGATATACTACACTATATAGTTGTATATACACTATACTATTAAGTCATTTATATACATACTCGACTCTAGAGTCTTTTATAGTCTCGACAGTAATGTTTGCTGTAGTATCGTCTATATAGTCGACTATAATATTGTTTATATAAGTACTATCTATATACTCGACTATAGAACCATTTATAATCTCGACTATTGAGAGATACCTATAGTTAGTAATATCGATTATATAATCAACTATAATCTGGACTATAGAGTCTCTACAGTAATGTTTTCTTTAGTATCGTCTATATAGTCGACTATAGTATTGTTTATATAACTAAGTACTATCTGTATACTCGTCTATAGAACCATCTAGTTGTATATATACTATACTATTAAGTCATTTATATACATACTCGACTCTAGAGTCTTATAGTTTCGACAGTAATGTTTTCTGTAGTATCGTCTATATAGTCGACTATAATATTGTTTATATAAGTACTATCTATATACTCGACTATAGAACCATTTATAATCTCGACTATTGAGAGATACCTATAGTTAGTAATATCGATTATATAATTAACTATAATCTGGACTATAGAGTCTCTACAGTAATGTTTTCTTTAGTAACGTCTATAGAGTCGACTATAGTATTGTTTATATAACTAAGTACTATCTGTATACTCGTCTATAGAACCATCTATAGTCTCGAGTATTGGGTTAGTAGTGGGTTAGTAATCTAGTAATATAGATTATATAATCATCTATAATCTGTATTATAAAGTTGTTTGTTTATAGCATGGATTATAGGGTCCTCTATAATCTCGACTATAGAATAACTTATAGTCTCTACTACATAGTTATTCTTTGTCCTAACGAAGTATAACTCCAGAAAATTTTGTATATATAATAAATTTTGAGATAATTTTTGAGTTAGAAAAATTTCCCTACTTATGAGCTATTTTTATGAACTTAATTGTACATTCAATATACGAAAATTATTTAGTATACAAAACAGATTATTGGTAAATAATAATTTCATTATATTTCTAACACATATACACAAACAAATTCACAACAAAGTATGAGTGCAAGACAATTTGTAAGAAATATGTATTAAAACGAATAATATTTTCATACCATAAATAGTTGAAGTAGATTATAAAATCATTTTTAAAAATTTAAAGAAATATCAACAATATTAATAGAAGATTGAAACAATAGCAAATTCTTATTACAGACATTATTTTCAAAATTGCCCTACAACTTACTTGATCAAATTGAACCTTTTGCGTTAAAGCAAATAAACACATGTTTATCCATTTCTTTTGAATTTATGAGGGTGTGTTTTGGAAAAAACTCATAAAACCAGCATTCTCTATTTGACCTCTTATGACTATCTAATACTAAGAAATAGTAACAAAAGTCAATGAACAGATTCTCTTTCTCATTTAATATTTGTTTTAAAAACGACCCAATAAAACCGTTAAATTTCAAACATCCTTTGATAAAAAAGGTACAACAAAACAATCTACTGAATAATCCCCTTTTGTTTACCTTTTCTTTTCGCTTGTTTGTCTTTTATCTTTTTGTAACGCGCTCTCATACTGTTAAAAAACAAACAAAAAACATGTTTTTTTTTTTTTTTTTTCAAAAACATTAGATTTTGTAAAAAAAAATAGTATGTGGAGGTATGTTTTCTTGCAAAATTAAATATATTGTTTTAACCAAATGTAGGAAAAATATTTAAATAAATAAACAAATATAAAATTGCAAATATTGTACATAAAAAAACTTCACATTCACTTCAAAATAAATGCGGGAAATGCTCCCATCTATATACTTTTGTTTAACAGTGTTTTTTATGTCATTCAAAAAATTTCTAGAATGGTCCTTTTTATGTTTAACTTGTCTTTGCGTTTAAGTGGAAATTATTATAAAAAGTAATAGTAAAAGAAAAGCACCTTTTGTATAGCTTTAATAATAGTTTTCTCTTTGTTCAAAGCACTCAAATTTTTTTTTGGTGCAATATTAAAATTTGGTTGTGCACCTTTTTGTAAGTACTATCATTATATTTTCTTAACCCTTCAGTTCAGTTCTAGTTCAGTTCTAGTTCAGTTCTAGTTCAGTTCTAGTTCAGTTCTAGTTCAGTTCTAGTTCTGTTCTAGTTCAGTTCTAGTTCAGTTCTAGTTCAGTTCTAGTTCAGTTCTAGTTCAGCTCTAGTTCAGTTCTAGTTCAGCTCTAGTTCAGTTCTAGTTCAGTTCTAGTTCAGTTCTAGTTCAGTTCTAGTTCAGCTCTAGTTCAGCTCTAGTTCAGTTCTGGTTCAGTTCTAGTTCAGTTCTAGTTCAGTTCTAGTTCAGTTCTAGTTCAGTTCTAGTTCAGTTCTAGTTCAGTATGTTCAGTCTAGTTCAGTTCTAGTTCAGTTCTAGTTCAGTTCTAGTTCAGTTCTAGTTCAGTTCTAGTTCAGTTCTAGTTCAGTTCTAGTTCAGTTCTAGTTCAGTTCTAGTTCAGCAGTGCTAGTTCAGTTCTAGTTCAGTTCTAGTAGTTCAGTTCAGTTCTAGTTCAGTTCTAGTTCAGTTCTAGTTCAGTTCCTAGTTCAGTTCTAGTTCAGTTCTAGTTCAGTTCTAGTTCCAGGTTCAGTTCAGTTCTAGTTCAGTATGTCAAGTTCTAGTTCAGTTCCTAGTTCAGTTCAGTTCAAGTTCTAGTTCAGTTCTAGTTCCAGTTCTAGTCAGTTCTAGTTCATTTCTAGTTCAGTAGTTCAGTTCTAGTTCAGTTCTAGTTCCAGTTCTAGTTCAGTTCTAGTTCAGTTCTAGTTCAGTTCTAGTTCAGTTCAGTTCAGTTCTGTAGTTCTAAGGTTCAGTTCTAGTTCAGTTCTAGTTCAGTTCTAGTTCAGTTCTAGTTCAGTTCTAGTTCAGTTCTAGTTCAGTTTCTAGTTCAGTTCTAGTTCAGTTCTAGTTCAGTTCTAGTTCAGTTCTAGTTCAGTTCTAGTTCAGTTCTAGTTCAGTTCTAGTTCAGTTCTAGTTCAGTTCTAGTTCAGTTCTAGTTCAGTTCTAGTTCAGTTCTAGTTCAGTTCTAGTTCAGTTCTAGTTCAGTTCTAGTTCAGTTCTAGTTCAGTTCTAGTTCAGTTCTAGTTCAGTTCTAGTTCAGTTCTAGTTCAGTTCTAGTTCAGTTCTAGTTCAGTTCTAGTTCAGTTCTAGTTCAGTTCTAGTTCAGTTCTAGTTCAGTTCTAGTTCAGTTCTAGTTCAGTTCTAGTTCAGTTCTAGTTCAGTTCTAGTTCAGTTCTAGTTCAGTTCTAGTTCAGTTCTAGTTCAGTTCTAGTTCAGTTCTAGTTCAGTTCTAGTTCAGTTCTAGTTCAGTTCTAGTTCAGTTCTAGTTCAGTTCTAGTTCAGTTCTAGTTCTAGTTCATAGTTCTAGTTCTTCTAGTTCAGTTCTAGTAGGTCTATTAGTTCTAGTTCAGTTCTAGTTCAGTTCTAGTTCAGTTCTAGTTCAGTTCTAGTTCAGTTCTAGTTCAGTTCTAGTTCAGTTCTAGTTCAGTTCTAGTTCAGTTCTAGTTCAGTTCTAGTTCAGTTCTAGTTCAGTTCTAGTTCAGTTCTAGTTCAGTTCTAGTTCAGTTCTAGTTCAGTTCTAGTTCAGTTCTAGTTCAGTTCTAGTTCAGTTCTAGTTCAGTTCTAGTTCAGTTCTAGTTCAGTTCTAGTTCAGTTCTAGTTCAGTTCTAGTTCAGTTCTAGTTCAGTTCTACTTCAGTTCTACTTCAGTTCTAGTTCAGTTCTAGTTTAGTTCTAGTTCAGTTCTAGTTTAGTACGAGTTCTGTTACACAGTTCAAGTTTGTTGCCGTATTTTATTAAAAAAAAATTATACGTTTACTGCAGAACGATTTTCTTATTTCCAGCACCTAATTTATTTTTCCCTGTGTATTTAATTTTTTCTCTCTTGTCATTATTGCTGTATGTTGTGATTGAAACAAGTGCATATTTCTTGGCAGCTTGAAAACATAAACTGCAAACACAAATAATGAAAAGCAAAGAAAAAAAAACGAAAAAATAACAGTCCCTTTTTCCCTGAAATTTAGCGTTATTATTTTAATTTTCTCCTGCTTTCTGGTTTTATTTGGTTTGGTTTGCCCATTACTTTGTTTGGGTGTAATGGGTTTTAGGTGGAATATTAAGTTTGTATGCTTTTTGTTTTTGTCCGCTTGTGGAACATTTCGGTGGGAAATTGTTGTCGTGATATATATTGAATTTAAGTTGAATTTGTGAAATAGTAGTTAATTTTTTAAAAAGCAGGAAATCCTTTTTTATAGTAAAAATGGAAATTTTGTTAAACCTTTAAACACAGCCCGTTACCTATTTATCAAATATATATCATGTAGCGTATGAGCAACATTTGCATACTCATACTCGCCGTTATACTCAAACAATATATTTTATAACACATAAACAAGTTTTTTATACAAAATTAACACTGTTTTATTATAAAACGTATATTTCACAATAAATCAATTATTTTTGTTTTGCTACTATTCATAAATTATGAAACACAAAAAAAAATATTTAAAACATTCAACAAAACAAAAACCCTACAAAGTTCAATAAACAACAACCGTTAAAAAAACTCTTGCGTTTTCACTTAAAAAATAACAATTTCTTAATTTTTTATTTAATAATTTTTAAAGGAACTAACATTTAGTAAATGATAATATTTGCATAGAAATATTTTTTATTTAAAATATTTTTAAAACAGGAAATTTATTTTAAGAAAAATAAAAAATAAACCATTAGCTATATTACTCTTAACCGCTTGTTCAATTTGCCACTATTAACAAAAACTACCTTTTTTGTGTTTTTTCCTATATTTTCTATAATTTCTGCAATTCAAATTCAATAGTTTACTACAGCTCCGGAATATGAAACGGTAAATATTTCGTTTTTTTGGAGTTTAAATTTTATTGTTTATAATTTTTTTCTTTGTTAAATAAAGTTTGCAAAATACAACAAAATGAAAATAAATAAATAAATAATATTCTCTATGTGCATGTAAAGCAAATAAATATTTGCAGTTTAAATATTTGTTATAGTATTTCATATATATTTTTCAAAAACTATTATTTATCTTTCTCATAAATGAAATGAAATTTGCAATTGTTTTCATTTAATGTTTGTGATTAAATGGAATATAAAAAAGTTAGAAATAATATGGAGATTTGATTTAAAATTATTTAGCAACAATTTAATTTAGAATTTAATATTTGTTAAATTTAATTGCCAATTATTTAGAAATAATAATTTAGAAGAAATTAAAATCAGAGATTTAATTTATATATCTTAAATAGTTTGGGCAACAATTTAGGTATTAGCTGTTTAAATATAAATTACAAAATTGAACTTTCAAACTGAACTAGAACTGAACTAGAACTGAACTAGAACTGACTAACTAGAACTGAACTAGAACTGAACTAGAACTGAACTAGAACTGAACTAGAACTGAACTAGAACTGAACTAGAACTGAACTAGAACTGAACTAGAACTGAACTAGAACTGAACTAGAACTGAACTAGAACTGAACTAGAACTGAACTAGAACTGAACTAGAACTGAACTAGAACTGAACTAGAACTGAACTAGAACTGAACTAGAACTGAACTAGAACTGAACTAGAACTGAACTAGAACTGAACTAGAACTGAACTAGAACTGAACTAGAACTGAACTAGAACTGAACTAGAACTGAACTAGAACTGAACTAGAACTGAACTAGAACTGAACTAGAACTGAACTAGAACTGAACTAGAACTGAACTAGAACTGAACTAGAACTGAACTAGAACTGAACTAGAACTGAACTAGAACTGAACTAGAACTGAACTAGAACTGAACTAGAACTGAACTAGAACTGAACTAGAACTGAACTAGAACTGAACTAGAACTGAACTAGAACTGAACTAGAACTGAACTAGAACTGAACTAGAACTGAACTAGAACTGAACTAGAACTGAACTAGAACTGAACTAGAACTGAACTAGAACTGAACTAGAACTGAACTAGAACTAGAACTGAACTAGAACTGAACTAGAACTGAACTAGAACTGAACTAGAACTGAACTAGACTGAACTAGAACTGAACTAGAACTGAACTAGAACTGAACTAGAACTGAACTAGAACTGAACTAGAACTGAACTAGAACTGAACTAGAACTGAACTAGAACTGAACTAGAACTGAACTAGAACTGAACTAGAACTGAACTAGAACTGAACTAGAACTGAACTAGAACTGAACTAGAACTGAACTAGAACTGAACTAGAACTGAACTAGAACTGAACTAGAACTGAACTAGAACTGAACTAGAACTGAACTAGAACTGAACTAGAACTGAACTAGAACTGAACTAGAACTGAACTAGAACTGAACTAGAACTGAACTAGAACTGAACTAGAACTGAACTAGAACTGAACTAGAACTGAACTAGAACTGAACTAGAACTGAACTAGAACTGAACTAGAACTGAACTAGAACTGAACTAGAACTGAACTAACTGAACTAACTGAACTAGAACTGAACTAGAACTGAACTAGAACTGAACTAGAACTGAACTAGAACTGAACTATACTATAGACTGGACTATATATTAGATTATAAAGTAGGCAATAGACCAGGCCATAGACTATAGAATATAATAAATACTAGCCTATAGACCATTGACTTCATTATGAACTTATTTGTAGACTAGGCGAAAAAAAGCTCTTAAAAACTCCCTCGTATAATCCACTATAATTTCGTTTTTAATTTTTTCCCCCATTAATTATTCCCCAATTGACGCAAATTTTCTATACCTGTCAATGACTACAGGAAACGAGCTTTTTATGAATTTCATTGTATATTTTCTTTTTTTTTTTTTTTTTGCTAAATAATTTCTGTTAACGTTGTGATTTTTTTTTCATTTTGTTATTTGTGTGTCACATTATATTGTTAAAATATTTCATTTATGTTGTTTTTCTTTTTTGTTATTGTTGTTAAATTTGTCACATTCATACAAGCAGGTGTCAATATTCCCAAAAGATAACAAATACGTAGCAATCACGTTTATTTCATTTTTTTTGTTATTGTTGCTGCATGTAGCAAATATTATTCATGTTGTACGTTAACACTTACAATTTGTTAAACATAATTTAACTTGTTGCAAAACAACAACAAAAATTTGTGTGTATATAACTAAATTTATTATAAATAATAAAACTTTGTTCATCAAATTGGATTTAGATAAAATATATAATAAATGAAATACTAACTAGTATGGAATATGTTTTTTTTTTTGCGTAGAAATATTATCTATAAACTGAAAAGGGGGAGGGGGGTGTAACACTTTTGCAGCAAATATTGACGAAACAGGAATTAGGGAAATTTAAAGAGTGAAAATTTTGCTAAATTTTTGTATAATTTTGTTAAAGTTAAATTTTCAAAATTTTGGTTTGGATACTGAAATGTTTCTAAAAACGATATTTTTTGCATTTCTCTAGTTGTTTTTAATAACAAATTAGGAAAAGTCCTTATTGTTTTCCTAAACCCCTATGCTATGTTTTTCAACAATAGTGTAAAAATTTACATGTTAACACATCACGTCTCAATGACACATGTAGATGTAAAAAGCAGAAAAAAAGAAAACAACAAATGCGTTGTACATGAATGTTAGAAAATGTCAAACCAAAAATATTGGGTTATTTTTAGTTTGTAATAAAGATGCATGACATAGAATTTTATATTTCAACTAAAACAAAAAATATCTAAAGTAAATTTAAGATATTTTGTTAAAAAAAATAACAATATAATGCTAAAATCATGACATATTCTTTAAAACAGTCTAAATTTTTCACACGAAAATGCAAAATTTTTGAAAAAAAATTTCAAACCTTATGTCACATACCATCGACTAAGTAACCTTAATATTCAAAACAAAAATAATGACGACTATTTTTATTAATGCTGAGTTGTAAAACCATTTTTATCAGAAAATTTTTATTTAATGGCCTCTATACACTTTTCAACATAATGTTTTCACTTTATATTTTTTGATAGAATTTTTTTTTAATGTATTCTTTTTTTCTCTCCAGTTAAACGTGATGAATTTGTTTATTTCAGGCAAAAATTTAAATTTGCAATTCATCATTCATATACATGTTATAACTTTTCACTTTTGGTTTGTCCTCTTGTTTGCCTCTAAAATGTGTTTTTTTGAAGCAACAATAATTGTGTCATGTTCCAAATAAAACAAATGTTGAAAATTTATATTACCAACTGCAAAACAGACCAATAAAACAATTACAACATCATTTATTATAATAATGTCAAAGCTTTTGTTCCATTGTGTTTTTTTTTTTTTTTTTTTTTTTTTTTTTTGCTTTTCATTAAAACATTCAGTTTAATTCTGGAGTTTTAAAACTTCAAGTTTTAAAATATTTTATTCATGCTTTACTTTTTTCATTTCAATATTTAAATTGCCATATTTTATACAGTGACTCTTTTACATTCACTAGAATAATAAAGCCTGTACAAATAAATGTATGAGGGCTTTTTTTTTTCATATAGTCATGGATTATAAAAATAGATCCTTTAACATGTAACAACAGTTTTTGTTAACAAAAAAAAATATACATTCGTTATTATAAATTGTTTATATAAGTACCGCTACTTTAATTTGTCAATATTTAAGACTTGATTCCATAAAAATAAAATTTCAAGCGAAATTTTAGGACATTCTCTATAAAAAAATGGAATTTTAGTAAACTCTATAGAAAAAATGAATATTTTAAAAAATTCTATAGCAAAATGGAAATTTAAAAAAAGATGGTTAATAAATGGAAAATTTTAAAACAATTTCTATTAAGCGAAATTTAAAAAAAATTCTTTATAAAAGGGGACATTTTCAAAATTTCTCTATAAAAAGGGATCTTTGAAATATTTAATATAAAATGGAAAAATTTCTAAATTCGCTTTAAATAAGGAAAATTTTCAGTATTTCTCCACAAAAATGAATAATTTCAATAAAAGGAAAATTTTTTAAAATGTCTTTATAAAAATTTTCCATAGAAATGGAAATTCGCAATAAAATGGAAAATTTTCTATAAAATGCGAATTTTCCCGAAAACTTTCTGTATAAAGAGAATTTTACGAAAATTTTCTATAAAAAGAGAATTTTACGAAAATTTTCTATAAAAAGAGAATTTTACGAAAATTTTCTATAAAAAGAGAATTTTCTGAAAAATTTCTATAAAAAGAGAATTTTCTCGAAAATTTTCTATAAAAAGACAATTTTCTCGAAAATTTTCTATAAAAAGACAATTTTCTCGAAAATTTTCTATAAAAAGACAATTTTCTCGAAAATTTTCTATAAAAAGAGAATTTTCTCGAAAATTTTCTATAAAAGAGAATTTTCTCTTTGTCTAAATTCGCTTTAAAAATTTTCCATAGAAATGGAAATTCGCAATAAAATGGAAACATTTCTATAAAATGGGAATTTTCCCGAAAACTTTCTGTATAAAGAGAATTTTCCCGAAAACTTTCTGTATAAAGAGAATTTTCCCGAAAATTTTCTATAAAAAGAGAATTTTCCCGAAAATTTTCTATAAAAAGAGAATTTTCCCGAAAATTTTCTATAAGAATAGAAAATTTAGGAAAATGTTCTATAAAAATAGAAATTTTCCGGAAATGTTCTATAAGAATAGAAATTTTCCGGAAATTTTCTATAAAAATAGAAATTTTCCGAAAAATTTTCTAAAATAAATAGAAATTTTTTCGAAATATTTTCTAAAAAAATTAAAATTTTCCGAATTTTTCTATAGAATTCCGAATTTTTCTATGAAATTAGGAATTTTCTGAAATATTTCTATTAAAATATAAATTTTCCTAAATAGAAATTTTCCG